TATAATCATGTTTACAAATGTTTACGTTAGTCTTGAGAAGGCAACAGACCTCACTTAAGCGATGCAATCATTGCAAACTGCCAGAGAAAAGACCCACAAACTCTACGCGCGCAACGCAAAATAACACATATATTTATTTCAGAAAGTTGAATAAATAAATTGATAATTTCGTAATATTATAATACATTACATTCATATTAATACTAGAATTTATGAACGATTTTGGTTAACAATAAAAACATATAATATGTATCCGAAATTCAAGAAAATGTAAGTGTCCACATACTTATGAGCAGTAGTGTATATTTTTTATGGAAAGTGACGTCTTGTGAAATTCCGAAGATAAATCATAAAATTACCCCACCTTCGAACATAGTTGACATCGAGTGCGACCCTCATTTTCGGCATCAGGATCAATCAACGTTATCCAAAATTTCATCCAACTGCATTGAATTCATCGGACTATCACCCCTCTTTTTACGCACACGTTTTCTTTTTAGACAACTTCACAAATTCCTAGCAGAATAAGTTAAACTACCAAACATAAACTTTGTCACCTCGATCCGTCAACGAAATACTGTTGCAAATAAACATACTTTTTTTGACTGAGAAGTAACTTAATTTAATTTCTCACCAGACCGCCGTTAAACTAAACGTCGGAATATAACAATACTTATTTAATATTTTTAAAAATGAGAAAGTGATTTTGACCCGCTTTATATAAACTAGCAATGGCAGTAGACTGTAACCACAAGACGCGCCAGATACAAATGGTATGTGCTTGCGTGTACTGATAAGACTGCAAACACTGAGTTTATTTGAATGTCAAGAATAGAGAAATGATTTAATATCACTCTCCCTACTACGCACATTACAGCCGGTACAATACACGCCTCAAAAAAGTATTCTAAATCCATTTTCTTTTATTCCAACTGTAAAATCATACTCGCATATTTTCATATTTTGTCGAAAAAAATTACATCTGCTAATTTAAGCTTACAGTATGAAAAAGTCGGATGACATGAATGAAATATCCCCCTTAATTATTAGCGTTGATGTATTTTCGTGAGTCGACATTATTTTTCTTTTGTGCGATTTATGACAGAAACATATCTAAACACATGACCAGAAAAAGTGCTTGTAAGGATATGTGACCGAAACACTCAACAATGACTGGTAGCAAGAAATCATATCGCTAATGGGTGATATAAAATTGATTTTTCAAAGAAGATGTGGGAATAATTAGAAAATGCAAGCAATCAATACTGCGTTGCTTTAAGGTATAAAGACACTGTTCCTTAAGAATTAGTCACAAAGCAGAAATGCGACGGTACCTTCCTAATAAAAGGATTGTGACCAACCGTTCAGCATATACACCATAAACTTTGTAGAATATACGATTAGAATCTCTCGTTATTTCTTATACCTAACATGCTCTTATACGTTTTTCGAAATTTCTTATGGGAATATATACACAGAATATACATAATCAAGTGATTTGTTATCAGTAGTGTAGACCATATGTAAAACACTTACTTACTATGTTTTCGTAAAAACATACTAACAAGGAAACATATCGAACCGCGACATACCGATATTAATGAAACTTATGTGAAAGATAGTTCTCAAGAAAATATTTGACACGTATTTTTTTTATCGGCCATCGTTCACATTGAAGGGATGAAAATAGCCCTCGAAGTTGGATTTTTTGGATATTTTTTTTGTAAATTGTTCGTCCTTAAATAGGAAATTTTTGTGCGTAAAAAAATTTCAATAAACTTCATTTGTTTAAATAATATTTTGAAAATTTATAATTTTTGTTTAAATTTTTGCACTAAATGTTGATCTATTTTTTTGCAACTTCGTGTACGTAAACTATGGACAGAATAGAGAATACGTGTTTTTGGAATTTGTTGTTTGTTGCAATGTTTATTAGATATATAATTTAAAATCACCTGTGAAGAGGGGCAATCTGCATTTTTATTAAAATATTTACAATATTTTAGACATTTTATACCTCTTTATATGCCGTTAATTGATTTCTGAATAATTATTGTAATCGTCGCAGGTATGAGCGTAACGCGGTTATGATCAACGCCGCGCCGTAAGGAACATAGGCTTTTATGATATTTTTGATAAAAATGCTGATTGCCCTTCTTCACAGGTGATTTTAAATTATATATCTAATTTACAAAAAAAAAAATCCAATTATCTTCTGTTGGGACTTGGTATGAAAAATAAACTGGTCTTGTGTGAGTGCACAAAATAAATATATATTTTATACAATAGCGGAATCGCAGGTAAATTGCAGCAACACGGTCTTAACTCGTCTCTGTTTCTTTTATAACTAACCGCCGATTTCACGGTGACATAAACATGCGGTGTTCGCGGCGGTACATATGTGTACATACGTGTATTCGTACGAACGGCTTATTTTGTCGGTTATGCCTAACATCTTCTTTAATTCCGGAGATATTCCCAAAAATATGATTCCAACCCCCAACTTCGAGGGCTATTTTCACCCCTTCAATGTGAATGATGGCCGATAAAAAAAATACGTGTCAAATATTTTCTTGAGAACTATCTTTCGCATAAGTTTCTTACATAAGATAATGTAACTGTTATACAGTAATAAAACGGAAAATATTTGAAGAGCATATTGCAAATTAATTTTAAGAAAGGATATAGTTTATGTGTTATACCTTCCTTCCCTGGTTTTTCAGTGTTACCAGATTCATGGTACTGAATTATACTGTAAGCTTCAGTGGGATGGTAGAAATGCCGTTCCATTTCCAAAAAGAAATAAGTGATATATTTGCCTTTTGTAAAATATTGATCCTTTAAACTCTTTTCATATCTTTCAGAATCATTTAAAAAATCACTTCCATTTTCTGATGATTCCTCAAATAAATCTTCTGTTGACTCTGCAGAGAAATCATCATCTTCACTACTTTTTAATACAATAAAACTTATGTCTCTTTCTTTAACTTATAATATCAAAATGTGATACTGAATTTGATTTTTTTAAGAAAGAGTCTAATTATTTAAGTACATTTTTTTACATTTTTATATAATCATTTTTCTTGAAATTTCGATGCTTACGAGGAAAGGCACGAAAGTGTGCACCTCTGATTTTGATGAAACTGCGTACGTTTGTTAAGCAAGCAAAAATAAAAGGTACATATGTTTTTTTATTGGTTGAGATATGGGTTTAAGGAGTGAAACGACCCCTTAAAGTTTCGACTCGTTTAGGTTACCCCAACAACCATACGAGATACATTAAAACTTCTAATAGAAACATAACAATAGGATGTTAATAAATTGAGCAAAAGGTAATTTATTCATGACAAACAAATTTTTGGTAACCTTATTATACAATTTATTTAAATTTGCATAATTACAAAAAGTGAAGAAAATTGGTAAATACTTAGAATAAGGAAGCCACCTGCGATTTCGATCGTTTTGAAATATGTTGTCGAGGTCATCATTTTGAACAACTTTTTCCATATACAGGGTGTTCGGCTACTGGTGGACATAATTTTAAGGGGTGGTAGCTGGGGTGATTCTGAACAACTTTTTCCTTTACCAAAGTGCTGGTTAAAGCTTAGTTTTTGAATTATTAATGAAAAACACTGACCAATCAGAGCGCGAGCCAAAAGTCGAAAAATGAAGTATTCAATTTTTACCTTTTAACTATTGAGTTGGGTACACTGACAGTTTATGCATTCAATTACAAAAGGTACAGTTGCCCAGTTCATCTACCTGCATTGGTTTTTCAGTAGGAAATTGACTTTCGTTAGAGCAATACCTAGCGCGCAAATCCAGCAAAAATAGACTTTATTAAAAAAATTTGTAACTCAGTCCTCAGTGCATCAGTTTTGATTCTGCAAAATGGAAAACACAGCTAAAAGTAAGTAGAATTCATAGACACATTACAAGATCAATACTTACAAAGTATAATACAACAATTGAATAACGCTTTTTAATAAAAATTCAAGTAAATGACGACCTCGGTATTTATAAAAAAAGGGAAAAGTTTATGAGTTAGTCGGAGTTGGGCTAAAAAACCAATTGTCATATTTAGTTAAGACTGCAATGCATTAGAATTAACAAAAAAATGCTGCCCATATCTGCCCCTCGAGTCTTAATGAACGTTTGAAAGTGTAAATACTTGTGTTTGTCGCTGATTCATGCGTGTTCGCCTCTCCTTTTCTCCCTTTCATACAATTAGTTATTTGCTCACTATTTTTGTCTCCTTTTTTTTATACCTGCATAGAAATTACAAATAGGGGAGAGACCAACATTCAGGTATACGTGACCCCCGGACACATAATACCGAAGTACAATTAAGCAAATAAACGTTGAGTTTAAGAATATTCAGCATCAACTTTTTCATAATTTTTTACGAATATTGATATGGACGCCACAGGGTTATTATAAATTTTGTTAAAAAAAGTATAATATAAATCGGTCTATAGAATTTAACATTATGAATGAAAGATGTATTGATATGTTTGCGCGTACGTCTATAATTACATTGTTGCTAAAAAGATTAAACTTGTTTAAAATATAGTTTAGTATAATATTTATATTTATATTTCAGTTTCTGAAGAAATTACTCTATCAAAGAAACAAATATTCATTGCACTGAAAAGTAATTTGAATGGAACAGAAAGTAATTTAATAAACGTAATTAATTATTTTTTTCGTAATTTTGTCTTTAATTTGTAATCTCGAAAACCACTTTGTACAAACTTCACAGTTACATAGAAGAATTCTTTCATATTTTGGTCAGCTTTTTGTTTTTTTGTTTAGTACTGAGCATCCATATTGAATTGACTTTTGATTTGTAATGACTGACCTCGAAAACCCCTAGATACAAAGTTTCATTAAAATTGAAATACGCTTCAAATTTTGGCCAGCTTTTTGCGATTTGGAACCACTGTGCGACGGGTGCAAGCGTGACGGTTGACCCTGGTCGTGAACAAACAAATCGCGCGATATCGGTAACATAGTTACCATCATCGGTAATACGTCAGTCGGTAAATAGTTATAAAATTCACAACTATTAATAAGTATAAATTTATTAACGAAACTCATTGTATGGATGAAACGAAAATAATTAGATTTGTTTGTTCACGACCAGGGTCAACCGTCACGCTGGCACCCGTCGCTCTCGCATCTGAGCGCGCGCTATTCTCGCGCTCTGATTGGTCAGTGTTTTTCATTAATAATTCAAAAACTAAGCTTTAACCAGCATTTTGGTAAAGGAAAAAGTTGTTCAGAATCATCCTAGCTACCACCCCCTAAAATTATGCCCACCAGTAGTCGAACACCCTGTATGTCGGAGACGCAGCGCGCCAAGGGAACGGAGCGTTGACGCACCCGAGAATAATAACAGCCGATAAGAACCTTCATGTCGGATTATAGGCGATAAGCGAGGAGCGAACGAAGCAGGACGAGAACGCGGCGAGTCATTCGAGATTTACCCCTCTAGCGAGCAGGACGTATCAAAATAGAACGCTGCACAGTGGGCCAGAGCGACGAATTAGCTGTTCATTTGTCAAAAATTCAATTCTCCTAGATCGATACGAAACGAACATATACTGCTTACTAAATACCTGTCGTATTCAAAACCAATTACATTAATAAAATTCATTAAAAATTATAGTCATAACAAGCATTCAAAGATCAGACTTTTATGAATGCTATTTTTCACCGAAAAATTTACTCTTTCTCATATTGATGCCCTGACAAACGTATTAAACATTTTTGCCAAATCTTTTTTCTTTAATAAACAGCATATGTTTATACTGAGAATACACATACCATGATAAATTATTATCTGTAGTTTATTTACAAAATAATTCTCAATGAATTAAAGATAATTTTCATAGTTGTTCATTTTTAGTAAGGGATATCTTTTAAAGTTCAAAGAGGTGTACGCTCTATCATAGTGCAAAATTTTCAACAGCATTTCCTTATTTTAATCCAACAGCAATCATGTCCCCCCTCGTTCCACCGCAGAAGTTATTATTGTTTAAAGCGTCAGCATTACACGCTTCAGCAACACGTAGGTATACAATTGTGTATTTAGTCGAATAGACATTACTATATTTTATTATATACTCTGTAAGTAATATATTAATTAATTAATTCGATTTTATTTCAAGAATATGCAATGGCAACATTTAACTTGTGTGTATCAAAGTACAACTGGTTTTATATGCCATCAAGTTTACATAAAATATTATTACATGGTGCAGATATAATACAAAGTGCTGGTTTGCCCATTGGGATGTTTTCGGAAGAAGCAATGGAGACACAAAACAAAGATTTCCGAAATATCAGAACAGACCACACCCGAAAATTTTCGCGACTGGAAACATTAACGGACTTTTTTCAAATTTTACTGTATACATCCGATATTTTAATATCTTCAATTTCGGCAGAAAACAAAAAAATTTATAAAACACATTCGCATTTTAATATTTTTAAGGATGAAATAGAAAAATTAATGTTACAAGAAGACCTTCAAGACGATGACGATGATACATAAATAATAATAAATAAATTTTAGATTAATAAATAATTAATAAATTTTAGATTAATATAATTGTAAAAACCTAGTAAAAAATGTATCTATTTCTATTAATAAAAATTGTTTCCATGTTAAAATTATGTTTACGTTAATAAAAATTATGCTTATAAATCAAACGTCCACATTGAGAGTATGGTATATTCACTAACTTTTTGAAATACAACACTTATTTTTGTTTAATTTTTAATTTTTTCGGTAAAAAAATAATCCGGTGTGATTAAATGTAATAATAATACTTGTTTTAAATGCTGGAACGGCGCAGCGGCCGCTATACTTTAGTTTCAAATCTTGAAATAACGCTAAAATTGGCCGTGAACAGCTAATTCGTCGCTCTGGCCCACTGTGCGCTGTAACGAATCGTTAATAAAGAAAAAGAAAACGAAAGAGTTTTCCGTTAATATGACAAATCCTACATCCGGTTTTCCGACATATATATAAGGTCGAGTCATAAGTAACTTCCGATGCAGCTAGGTAGAATCTATTGTTTGTAGTTACCCACTATAAGTCACCGAAACAAACGAGTTTTTGTTTTCACTATATGGATGAGAATTCAGTTAGTCTTCTGTCAATTGTTTTATATGGTGCATATGACATTCAACTGTTATTCTCAAGCTCTGAAATGGAGAGTCAAAAAGTGCATATTCGACATGTAATACTTTAGGAATTTAAACAAGGCAATAGCGCTAAGGCGAAAAAGACGAACTAAAAGGGCGGAACGTCCTTCCGATTTTGACGACAATCTTTTAAAGGCAATATTGGAGCAAAATCAACGTCAATCAACAAGGGGTATAGCAAAAAGGTTAAATACCTTACAATCAATTGTTAACCGCCACCTGAAGAAATTAGGGAAAGTCAGCAAGACAGGAGTATAGGTACCTTACAATGTCAGTGAACGAAATAAAGAAGATCGCATGTCAATCGCCACAAGTCTACTCTCACGGGTAAAAATCGAGTCTTTTTTAAACAGGATTATAACAGGCAATGAAAAATGTGTTACCTATGATAATATCGTCCACAAAAGGCAGTGGCTTGATAAGGATTAACCACCCCTAGCAGATCCGAAAGCAAACATCTGTGGCAAAACGATTTTACCATGTTTATGGTGGGATTGTCGAGGCATAATTCATTACGAGCTCTTGAAATCAAATTTAATAGATACGTCCAACAGCTGCAAAGAGTGCAAGAGGAACTCCATGAAAAGCATCCTACATTCATTAATCGTAAAAACGTCATTATTTTACACGACAATGTGCGACCACATATACCGAGGGTGACTCAAGAGAACAGTCTTGTGCTTGGATGATCTGTTTTACCACATCCACCTTACTCCCCGGACGTTGCCCCAACAAGCTATCACCTTTTCTGTTCCTTACACAAATTTTTTGAATAGAAAAACCTTTAATTTTGAAGAGAAAGTCAGTCAGGCTGTCGGAAATTTCTTTCAATCCAAACCAACTACATTTTACAAGGAAGGAATTGATAAACTGCCAGGATGATGGGAGAAGGTCATTCATAATAGTGGCGAATACATAATAAATTAATATAATTTTATTATTCAATGAAAGCAAAATAAATGTCTGATAAAAAAACGGAAGTTACTTATGACTTAACCTAATAAAATGCACGTACGCGCCCGCTGACCTACCCTCACTATTAACCAACGTATTTATAGGAACAAATGAAAAACAAATATGTTTGCGTTATACACAGCTGTTAATGTTATTCAGTTGGTATAACAAAACACTTGTTAAAGTTATAGGTATTCTATATGTCAATTTTATTAGGTAACGAACAGTTTGAATAAGTTAGGAGACATAATCGCGGTAATAATCCCTCAAAGAAATGTTTCAAACTTAACGGTTTTTGCCACCAAGCACAAATAACTAATTGCTACATCACAACATTGTATAGCATGGTGGTTCATTACCTGATGCATAGCAAAATTCTACAGGATTTTCAAAATGAGGTGGTTTCAATTACATATATCCGCTTTTATACCATAATATTTTCTAATCGTGGTAAGGAAAACTGATGACGAACAAGTAATTATAGTTTTAAAACACTGTCTCGTGTGTGGAGATTAACGTCATAGTGCAATAGAAGAACTATGTCCGAAAAGCAACGAACAAAATTTTTTCACACGAGAAATCCGTACATGTCTAACGATTGTCAATATTTTGTAGTTTCCAGTGGAACCGTAAATAACGTTATTTCTTTATTTGTAGAAGTAGCTTCATTAGCACTACAATGATAATGCGCGCTTTAAGAATTTAATAATAGATC